AGCTCTCTCTCTCTCTCTCTCTCTCTCTCTCTCTCTCTCTCTCTCTCTCTCGCTTGCCCTTTTTTACCTCCCAGTAAAGCATAGGCCATCAACAACACTTCTCCAGCAAAGCCTGTCCTGTGCATCCTTTCCATCCTTTTCTAGCTGTTTCGTGTTGCAAGTAGCAAGTACAGTAAAACGTTTACTAAAACAAAAAATAAGAGTCCAGCACGAGACTCAGATGTACGTACAAGGTCAAGTAAGTCCCGAGTGGAGGTTCAACTATTTCACTTTTACCCTTCAATTGTGTCTTTTTTCATCTCAGCGAAAACAAGAGTGCAACACACTACTACATGTATCCTTGATTGAGGGTTTTATAAATATTCTTTTAACTTTCAATTTTACTCAGCCAAGAAGAAGAGTGTAGCACACAGCTGCATGTGTCCTTGGGGTTCAATAGATTTACTTTTCCCCTTCAGTTGCTTTTTCTCAGCCAAAACAAGAGTGCATCACACTGCTACTGATGTCTTTGAAGGTTCAACAAATTCACACTCTTCTCCTTTAATCGCTTTTTCTCAGCCAAAATAAGAGTGTTGCATGCTGCAACAGGTGTCCTTGAGGTTTCAATGAATTCGCATTTACCTTTCAATTGTTTTTCTCAGCCAAAACAAGAGTACTGCACACTGCTATATTATGTGTCTTTGAGGGTTCAATAGATTTACTTTTCCCCTTCAATTGTTTGGTTGTTGTTGTTTTTTTCTCAGCCAAAGCAAGAGTGCATCACACTGCTACAAGTGTCTTTGATGGTTCAATGGATTTACTTTTCCTCTTCGGTGGCTTTTTCTTTCAGCCAAAATAAGAGTGGTGCACATTGTTAAAGGCGTCTTTGAGGGTTCAATAAATTCACACTCTTCTCCTTCAATTGCTTTTTCTCAGCCGAAATAAGAGTGTTACAAGTGTGCTTGTGGGTTCAATAAATTTACTTTTACCCCTCAATTGCTTTTTCTCAGCCAAAATTAGAGTGCTGCACACTGCAACAGGTGTCTTTGAGGGTTCAATAAATTCTCATTCTTCTCCTTCAATTGCTTTTTTTTTCTTAGCCAAAACAAAAGTGCATCATATTGCTACTGGTGTCTTTGAGGGTTCAATAAGTTTACTTTTCCCCTTCAGTTGCTTTTTCCAGGCAAAAAAATAAGAGTGCATCACATAGCTACAATTATAATGTCCTTGTGAGTTCAATAAATTCATTTTTACCTTTCAATTGGGGTTTGTTTTTTCATCCAAAATAAGAGTGTCTTTAGAGGTTAAATAAATTCACTTTCTTCTGCTTCAATTGTTGTTTTTTTCTCAGCCAAAACAAGAGTGCATCACGCTGCAACAGGTGTCTTTGAGCACAATGATGCCGCCGACAGCGCCGCCTACCGGTGGCGTAGAGAGGTCCGTCGGGACATGGTGGGCTTCAATGACGAGGAGAAAGACGCCATGCTGGACCGGCACAACTCGCTGCGGAGCGTGGAATTTGCCAGTGACATGATGAGGATGGTGCGTTATTGTTGTTGTTGCTAGGTTTGTTGTTGTTGTTGTCGGTGGTGGTGGTGGTGGTGTTGGTGGTGTTGTTGTTGCTATGTTTGTCGTTGTTGTTGTTGTTGTTGTTGTTGTTGTTGTTGTTGTTGTTGTGGTTGTTGTTGTTGTTGTCGGTGGTGGTGGTGGTGTTGTTGTTGTTGTTGTTGTCGGTGGTGGTGTTGTTGTTGTTGTTGCTATGTTTGTTGTTGTTGTTGTTGCTAGGTTTGTTGTTGTTGTGTT